TATTCGAGTGAAGAAATATATTGCTGACTTTTGATCTCGCTATAAGACACAGTAATTCATGCTTCGCTCATCTTCCTATAAAATGACCCGTTTCATGCTTTTATTTAATAGTTGATCGGCTAAGCTAATAATTACAACACAGTTCGTGTAGTACACCCTGAGTTTTGGCACGACATCCTGGTGTAGGGAGTCTTGTGAGGGCATCCAAGATGAGCTGTTCATACGTGATCGGTTTGACGAGTTTCATGAGATTGGACGTTTGGCCACAATGTTCTCGTTGTGATTGTTGTAGCTACTGCGCATGTGCGTCCGAGCCAGTGGGTCAGAGCAGATTCAGAAGATTTCATTCCACGCAGTAAGTCAGTCCTTGGAAGCAGAGCCGGGGTGTGCTGGGACCTAGTTGCTCTCTGTTAGCTGAAACCCACAAGCGCCCACTCTTGATGGCATGCGCGGCCTGTATTCCAAACTCGGTGCTGGAATTTCTCTTGGCCTTCTGATCTTGGGATGGTTTGTGTTCGTTGTATTGACGCCGACAGAACAGGCAACGACTCAGAAGAGAGAAGGCCAGTGTGAGCGCTTGAAAGATCTCAATCATTCGCAAGCATCGTGCGATCTTTTTGGCGGTTGTCATGGTTACTGCCCGGGCAATCCATGCCAGTGCACGTCTCAATGCAACAACTTCGGTAACTGTTGCGAAGATTTCGTGGAAAGTTGCATGAATGAATCGCAGGCCGATTATGAGCTGGCAAAGCAGGAGGAAAAGCTGCGGGAGATGGAGCATGGCAAGGGCATTGTCGGCCGTGAATGGATCTTGAGCTTGGTAATGTTTTTCTTCGTGTTGACGATGATGGCTCTGCTGTATTTCGCACACTCGGAGAACAAACACATGCAAAATGCAGTGTACGAGCTGACGTGCACCACCGTTTCCATTTTTGCTACGAATACGGTTACGGTGGCTGTCCATGGTGTGTTAATTGAGCAGTTGTGGATGGGAAAGTACCCTGGATTAAACCAAAAGGCAGGTCCAATTGTGCAGGCCAAGATCTATGGCATTTTGTCCATCCTATGCTTCCTCGGATCCAACTGGATTATTTACAGGTTCAGGGAGAACGAGCATCATTATTACGCGCTGGGCCAGCTGTCGAGCCACATGACTGGCTTCACTCTGATACAAGCCATCGGCAGCCTGCAGTGGAGCGTCAGAGACAATGGATGGAAATGTTTTCTTGTGCCTGGTCTCACTTCCGGCAGTTTTGTTTTTGGTGTGCCGTCGTAGTTTCGTGCCTTGGATTCATATAGTTTCGTGCATTGGCATGGCTGCTTGCGCTTTGCACTACCTCGTAAGGTTCTACCATGGACAGCGATCCTTTTGAGAGGTATGCTGTTTGTCGGTGAGCGGTTGCGTGCACAGTTTGTTGGGAGCACGGAGGTGTATTGGGAATACCAAGCAGGCGATGATGAGTGGCATAAATTTCCCGATGCAACGAGTCGCGAGCTAGAATCTCGTTTCATGGACTCTTCGGACTCTGAGTCGGAGGTGGTCCTGACTGTTCCAGTGTCCGACCCTGCGCATCCGCGCCAGGAGGTGGAAGTGTCTTTACCACATGCAAACGCGATCTGCACATCCCCACATGGAGAAATGCTCCCGGAAGGTGACGGCAGTGATCTCAGCTGCGGGGCCTGGAAAGTACGCAGAGAATGCCCTTGGCTCGATTTCGCAGGCGAGATATTCATTGAGGGTGCAGCTCTGGTGATGGGATTCTTGGTGATGCAGACCATCCTCCTGTTTCACACGGGATACTTGCATTCTGTGGAGGGCCTCCTTCAGAAGCCGAAAGATTGGGACTGGGTGCTCACTGGCAAGGTCCTGGGCTGGAGTGTGGTTTTCGGCTCCTTTGTCCCTGTGGTGGCTGCAAGCTCTGCCTGGATCCCGGCTCGTTTCCTTCCTGATGCAGAGCTTCTCCGGGAGTCATGTTCTTCCGCACTTGCCTGGTGTCTCGTCCGCGGGGCTGCGTTGACAGTCAGGCCGCATTGTTCCACCATGGACACATACATCGTGGTGGCCTTCCCGCTGACGTGGCTAGCCTTTGTCGTAACGGGATTTGCCTATAGCATCCCTTCAGGGGACAAAGAGTCCACAGTGGTTCCGCACAGCATTGCCAATGCTTTCGGGATTGTCGTCGGCTTGGCCTGGGACAAAGCGTTCGAATCCCTTGCTCTCCACATGACCTCGGGATGGTATGGCCACTATGTGGTCTCAAAAGTCTGCCTGGCGGGTGCTGTCATTGTGACAATCCTTCCAGGTTGGTATTGGTACCTAGTGCCGCATACACTGCGTTCTCACAGAGACTGAGACTAAAGAGCCGAACACCTGTTCCAGCGCATAGCACAACAAACGAACGTCGTGGCAATCCTTTCCCCAGGCTATTTGTGCTCGTGACTCGGAATTGACGTGAGTGGGTGCAGATGTGTTCGCGGCGGGCATCCGATCAAAACGCACAGGGTTCTGCATTGCTTGACAGTTGCAGGACTGCCAGGGGGATCATCCAAATCCTGCCAAAGGATTGAGAAGTCGGCAGCCAACACTTCTCGATGGCTGATTCCAGGTTCCGGTTGCTTTAAAGCTGTAGGGGAAAGGTGGTTCTGATGAAGGGGCTTGGCTCCATGAGCGTTGAACAGCCAGTCTGAGGCATACCTGCTCGCTAAACCTGTGGGTCAGCTTCATCTCAAGTTACCTTCGCGCCACAACTGTGTGTCCAGCCCACCTGCTTCCAGTCGGGGCAGACCCACAAGCTCTGGATCCGAAGGCACCTCCAAATCCTCACCCAGTCCGACTCTTCAGCCCTCACCACCCGGGTGTATGCCATGTGGCGTGTTCGTTGCCGATGGATATCGACGATTTTCTCATTCAGTACGACCCGGCCTCAGCGAAGTCTGGCATCCGAAGAGCTGTCTGTGTCGCCATGATGATTGCAAGTCTTCAGAGAATTCTGATCATGCCTCCGCTCATGAAAAGGCTCCAAGTTGGCTTGCCCAGCCTTGCCTGGAGCCAACACGGGCCGAGGATCTAAGCGAGGACCAACTCCAGCTTGCGGCGAAGCTCAAAGCCGAAGCCAACTTCAGGCCACGAGCCGTGAGCGCTCGGCTGAAAACTCCGGGCAGAGGGGCGAGCTTTTTCTTGTTCGGCGCAGTTTGCGCATTTTCTGACCACGGTTCTGACTGTGACATCGAGGACTATGTTCCTGGGTTTTCTGCGTCTTGGGACAGGCAGCTGCTCAATGTGCTGGCTGACCATGTGCTGTTCTTCAGTCGACTTAGGCAGGGCCAGGGCCGCCAGGGCTCTCCGAATGATCACCAATTTACCAATCCTCTTCACGGCTACACTTTGCCAGCGCAGGCCTCGACGAGCTCCAGCCTCGAAGCTGCGCGCGGAGGCCCGAACTGCGCTCGCGTGGGGCTTTCGGAGTTTGAGGGGAAAGCTGAGACGCAGTCCAAGAGGCTACAGGCCGTTGCTGTTCTGCAGAAGCCTTTGAAGACTGGCACCGATTTCCCTGAGGACCACGCTGTCCATGCATGACCCACATTCGGTGCTTTCTTGGCGTTGAAGTCGGTAGGCCCCTGTAGCTCCGTATGTCCGAGGAGAGATGGCAAGCTCCCATGACTCCCATGTTGCACAGGTCTTTGCCTGGTTCTCGGAGCTCTCGGTACCGGGGCCCAGTGCAACACAGCATTTGTGGACCCCCGAACTCGGAAACCCTTCAGCCTGAACCCCAAACCCTGCCCCGGCCTCTACAAATACGCGAAATCCGAAGTATGCCGTTGGGTTCGTCTGTGTTAGCTTCGCGTGAAGGTCGAGGAGCGGCTCTCCGTGCTTACCTGCCATGATGCAGGCCCGGCGACCCTGAGGTTTGGATAATCAGCGGAGTCCACAAAGTACCAGAAGCAAGTACGACAATCTCGAACACCAGCCGAGGGTGGGTCCGCACGGTGCTCAAGATGTGCCGGCTTCGAGGACCCCGGATTTTGCGCAATTTGCCGTCACTCTTTCTGTGTGCTCCTTTCTCCCCTCGATATGAGGGTGTAAAGCATTCCATTCGTTCAGGGCCAAGTTGCGAGTTTGCATGGAAGTCAGTGTGACGAAGCGGTGGTCTAACGATCTCAATACTTGGAGCGACTGAGCGGGGATTGTGGGTCAACCTTTCCTTTTCAATACTTGTTGCAGTGACACCAAGAGTGCACGGAAGACCCCCGCATGCGAATCAACGATCAAGCCGAGTCTCAAGCAGTGTAGTTGCCCTCATCTCGCCGAACCTTTCTCCAGAAGCCAACTTATGCAGGATGGCAGCCACGGTGGGAGGGGCACTTCAAGGCTGGATCTTGATTTGTCGTTGTCTTGCATGAGCCGGGGGTGACTCGGCCGTGCAGTTTTGGGATCCTCAGGTGGCGCCGAAGCCGGTACCCCCTGCAGGCTGGACCGGAGCCCACATAGACTGGGTTTGTTCGAGGTGTCTGTCGTGAGTCATTGGTGGGTGGACTGGGAGGGGTGAAGACACATGCAATCCGAGATCTTGGCACTCGTCTCTAGTTATGATGAGTCCCGTTCGGCTGCAGTTAAAGTTTTTTAGAGCTTGATGGAAGCAGTACGCTGCTGAAGAGTCTTTCTGGGAATGCTGCCTCAGGCTGCTCTGCGGTGTAAGGTCTGTTGTTCACGTTGGACCCGTGCTGTTTTGACGCTCTTGAAGCCGATATTTTGCAGTGCTGCAATGTCGCGGCTTGCATGACTCAGCAACCGCTTCCAGTCTTGAAGCCACGGCTTGCAGAGACTTCTTTAAGCCCGTTTTGACTCTTCGTCGGGTCCGTTGCACACGAACGTAGCTTTTGTGGTCGTCGCACGATCACCAACCCTATCACTTCGAATTGAACCGCTCGTTGCACTCTTGTACATCATCCCTGGTTCGAAGGCCGCGTGTCCAAGGCTAGTGCCTCCGGGACCGTACGACGCAACGAGGCGGGCCAGCTTGGGACAGCATGGGTTTGCTGCTAGAGAAACTTCAGCAGATATTGGACTCTAGCAACTTGATCTTTCTTCATCATGAAATCTCAGACACTCACCGCAACGACCTTCGCCTCTTCCCGAAGTGGCTGCCCAGTCGGATCAAGACTATGAGGAGCAAGCAAGCGTGACTATTTTAGCAGACTCCAGCAAGCAGGCACAAGTTCCTCGAGATCCGAACGTTCATTACCGACGCCCCCACAGGTGCAGGGCTCGACTCAACGTGTCACATGTGTCGCATTGCGTGGCTGTTCAACCAGGCTGCCAGATGGCGTTAGGATCTGAGCAGCCGAGGGTCTTGCCGCCCTATGGATTTTTCTACGTTCTTACCGCCTCAAGGAGATCCTTGCGCCACCGGCAACGGCCGACTTTCGTGTGCTGCTGAGATGTGTTTCAAGCGAGCGAGCCGTGCCCAGTCCCAGCCGCGTGCTTTTCGCAAGGTGCCGCCTCTGCGACGCTGCTGGCGGGACTGCGCGTTGCCTTTCAGGGATGCTGCTGTGCATCCATGGCCGGGCTGCCTGGATATGCTTCGGCTTCTGCAAGTACGGTAGAGAAGGGTGGCAGGATCTGCAACGGGAGCAGGCTGCCCGTAACGGAGCCCGTAACAGGAACGGAGCCCAACACCGTAGCAGCAAAAGGCCGATTCCAAGTTCCAAGACTTTCACATCCAGCATTTCTTTTGTATCTACTTACAGGGATTCAGACCTACGTGAAAAGCATGCCTTTCCGACATTATTCAGCCCTAGCCCTCAGGACGTGGGTTGCTTTGGATATGTATTTTTGCAGAAAGCCTTCAGTCCTGAGCCATTCTTCGACATGTTAAAACCCTCTGTATCGCCACTGCTATCCTCTATCCCAAACCGTGAATCTGATTGAACCCTGAACACTCCACCAAGGTAGGTCCCCCACGGAGGAATTGCAACATAGTTTCCTTGGCTTTCCAGGGGAAAATTCCTGTTACGCTCGGGGTGCGGTTCCTGTTTCTACTTGCGCCTGTTTCCGTTACGGCCGTTACGGTGTGCAGAACTGGCTTCCATTACTCCCCAAAGCGGTTACTTCCCGCACCCCTGGACGATGTGGGGTTCAGACAAATCTGATGCAAAGCAGAATGTCCACCAATGAGCTGCGCGAGGACAAGAATCCGCACGCTGTTATTTGTCGTAGGGTTGTGTTAGCAAAGCTCCGCAACCTCGACCTTAACATCAGAAGGCGTCCCGAATCTGTAAGGCCTTTGACTGGGGCGTCATCATGCCCTCACCCGCGACCGTCACAGACTGTGAGGCTGGGGGAAGAGCATCGAAGCTTCGAAGGAAACGCCGTTGAATGGTCTCGTGTTGTCTCAGTGTTTGGACGATCCGCAAGCTTCGTCAGTTTTCGCTTGCAAGCTATTTTTCTCTGACTTGTGCTGCACGCTCATTCAGGTTCGGCCCCGTGCACCCCTTCAGTCCAAGTCCATCGAAGGCTTTCTTCTCGTTGCTGGACGATGTCTCCCTTGGGAGGCGGGGTCCTTGAGCCCTGGAAGGGACCCAAGCAAGTTAGAAGGCACTCCACTTCGCCGGAGGTTTCTGCGAGAGAAGGAGGAGAACCCCAAGACGGGCGCCACCGGATGGCCTGAGGCCGAAGCTTTGGATTTAGGCATTTCGAGTTCTCGCGGGCTATGCGCGACTTGAAGGCGCCGTGGCTGCGCCAGTGGGCCACGCATGCGCCGCTCAGCGCTTACCTGGGCTCCCGCCTCGAAGTGCCCCGCCCGGGTGAGCAATTTTGGGCAGATCGCCTGCCGGGACTGTTGCAGGTACTTCTCCTGCAAGGCTACGCCTCGCGTATGCAGGCCCCCTTGGGCCAGCCCTTCGGAGAAGAGAGAAGAGCGAAGAACCTGCTTAGCTGTCGGATGGCCTGGAGATGGAGGCAGAGCCGAGCCTGCCGCTGGCAGAGGTAGGGCAGGGCCCGGTCGGGCAGGGCCGCTTTGCTCGTTTGGGGGTTGCCTGTGTAGTGGTGGAGGTTTGGGCTTCGATGCCGCCGGCGCAGCGCCAGCAGACCATGACACGGCTGGGCTTGGACCGCAGGCTTTTGGTGCATTATCTTTCCAAAGGTTCGTCGCTCTGTTTCAAAATCAAGAGCTGCTGCACATAATTACAGACGTGGTCGCTGTCTCGGATTCACTACTTACTGTTGCACGGACTAAACGCGAATGCCTCGTTTGTAGTCGCGATCGGTCATTTGTTTTCGACCTCGTTGAAGTCGAACAGGTTTTGAAGTGGTTTCAAAAAGGGGCTTTGAGCCCTAGACCACCGAAAAGCCATTGAAGACCGAAAGCCTGACACTCTCCATTGGGCGGACCAGGCCCGTCTCATTGAAGACCATGTGGGGAATGCCCTTGCTCCGAGTCACCGGAACTTCTCAGGTCGCTCGCTCCTGAGGCGTCTCTTCTCAGAGACCCATCAGGCGATGACCTTTGGAGGCATGGCCCTGGCGCTTTCTGCACGCTTGCGGCCTCTCCAGGCAGGCATTGGGAGATCGTATGAGGCCTGGGCCTGCCGCCGTCTGGCTCAGAATGACGTTAACGTTAACCGCAAACTGAACCTTCCCCCCAAAATGCGGCGCCCCTTGGACTACAGGCTCCACTCTCCAAAGGTGACACCGTGTGCAGAGTAAATGTTTCGCAGTTCTTGAGTGCCTCTGCTTCTACATGCCTTCAACACAGAGACCATGCTTTCGCCTGAACCTCAACCCAAGGCGAGGTGGCATGGCTCTCAGTGCTCTTCTTGGCACATAGCGCTGCATCCACGACGATCGACCTGGATGGGCGCGAAGGTGCGAAGGGAGGTTGCTGCATGCTGCATGATTGACCGCTTTCCGGGGTGAACTCAGGTTGGAACGTAGATTCGGCGTCTGTCGATGTCCACACATCATTCCGCGTGTTCCATGTGGAGGGAGACACTGACAGGAACCTCACAGCTTCTGAGTTTTTGTTGTGTTTGCCAGGCGAAGGCTGTGCGTCTTCGCACCTTGGCCAAATTTGGTGAGAGTCTGCTGGTGTCCAGAGTGCTGTCAGCAGTAAAGATTCAGAGGTCGCGAGCTGCACAAATGGGAGACAATTCTCGCCGTCTCATAAAGTAGCTTGTGCTCGCCTGTTCTGAGGAGGATGCTAGTGTGCAGCTAGTGCTTGTGTGTTGCAATCAGGCATGTGGGTCCAACATGGTCCAACATCCACAAAGGGTAAGCGGACGAGCTCCCCACTTGCCCGTAGCAGAGCCCCCGTGTCTGCAAGACAAGGTTCGTCCAGCTCACCAAGGAGGGCAGAGGGTTTCGCAGTCCTGGCCCGGGCTTGTCGGCACCCAGAGCAGTGCTCCGATAAGAACGGGCCCGCGCCACCTCAAGCTGTGGGCTATGTCCGCAAAAGACTCTTCCTGAGAAGGAGCTCGTGCCCGGAGCCAAAGCACCTTCACCAGCCGCGACGCTGAGGGCTAGGTGGGCGCTGGAGATCGGGGATGGCTGCCTACGTTGTATTCGATCACCGCAGCTATCTGCAGTGAGCGGCAACCTGTGTCCAGCCGGGCGTAGCTTCAGAGACTTGAGCTTTGGAGCGCGAAGCTGGGCGTCTGCAGCACGAAGTTGTGGAGCCTTGACTCTGGAGGCTGCGTGAGCAGCGTCCGATTCCACGAGCGTTTGGTGTCGGCCCCGGAGCAGATTTTCTCTTCGGGGCCGGCAAAGAGGTCACGTCACTTTGTGTGGCCTCCGCCTTTTCTGAACAGTTCGATCAGTTCGCCGCAGGGCTCCCTTTTTGGCAGCTTCCCAGAGAGAGCCTCGAACCCTGCCATGCCAAAAGAGAAAGAAGGGTCCCAGTCTTCCGCATCTTAGTGCCGGGCTGAAGGCGGCCTGCAGCGGGCTGGCGAGGCTGCAGAGGTGCCGAGGGGATGTTTCAGGCTCTGATGCGGTTCTGGGGGGCTTCGATGTGTGGTGTATGAGTTATTATGAGTTTATGCGGTGTCGTCGAGATGGGACATTCATCACTTGCGCTTCACAAATCGTTCGTGAGCATCTGAACATCCCTGCGATCAGTTCTCACCACCCCCTGTCAAGCATGAGAGCACGGCCTCAGAAGCCTGTACAATAGAGAATATTGAGGCTGCATGAGGCTGTAGAATGAGCACGACATAGACCCTAAGCGAATCCCAAGCCCACATAACAAATCTTTCTCCTGTGCTCCTGCAGGCCGAGGCCATCCTAGATATCTTTCGCAGCATGGCTGCCTTCTTCCAGAAGATCGTGACGCCGGTCCGGCGCAGGGTTTACCGCAACTGTCTTTACTCCACGGTGTGAGTGTTCTGGATCACTTGGCACATGCTTTGTGTCCTATAGATGCGTTGGCGCCCAGCTGTTCTGCTGGGTTGCTCGCTTTTGGGTCTTTTCGCTCTTCCTTTTGCTCCAACCCACACGGTCTCAGCAGCATCCGGCTCGACGTATGAAGCGTGCTTCACGTCGATATTTGTAAGCAAGGCCTCTCCCTCCAGTAATTTACAGTAATGCTGCCGGGGCTTGGAGTGCTTCAACTTCAGCGCATCGCGGACTCTCCTCTCGTACCATCAGGAACTTTTCTTGGGACAGGCGCATGTGATTTGGATGGCGGAGTTGTGCCGCTGCTAACAAGTACCTGCAGAGATGCCTGCTTCGACTAGCCCCAGAAGTCGCAAGAAGCCATCGGACCCGAGTTGCAAGGAGGAGCAGCCCGAGGGAGGCCTCATGAAGGACCTCTTTCGGTCCGAGGCCAGGCTTGGAAACATGTGAACGTTCCTTCACGCTGGGAAATGGAGTTTGGGACTGGGCGGATGGAGCCGTGCAGGTCTTGCACTTAGAATCTAGAGGGTGTCCAGGGCGATTGCTGCAGTTGGCAGCCTGTGCTTCGCTCTAGACCTAATCTGGCTGCTTGATCTTGCTTCCAGGCTGCCGTCGCACATGCATACCGGTGAGGACGGCGAGGCAGGACACGTTGTGTGAGGGTGTGCGATTGCTCAGTCTGCGAAAGGAACGTGAAAGCAATTGAGGATGCTGAAGGTTGAGGCTTCCACCCTGCTTATCACCAACTGTAGGGTCGTAGTCTGATGAAAACTTAGTATTTTGTGCAGCCGTGCTTCACGTTGGTCTTGTCGAAGCACGGTGCAGACAGCTCTGTGCAGGTCACAGAACGACGAGCTGGAGTGCAATCCAGCTCTGACTTGTGCACAAGCTAGAGGGTAGGGTTGCCAAGAACACGACTTTAAAGGCAATCCTTTTGAGCTACGTACGGGGGCTCAACTCGACCTGGGTGACCTGATGTGTCATGGAAATGCACCAACATTGCATCACAGGCACTCATAGTCGCTCCTGATAGCCGCACAACATCAGACACGCGGAGAGCCACCAGTTTGTAAATGATTCGAAAAGCAGCCGGACTATGCCCGCTCCTGCCAGCGGAATGGTCACCAGGTCGCAGTGAAAGAAGAGCAACCGCAACCTGCACTTTAGTTTCTGTTGGGTGGAGTCACTGCGCAATACTGGTGCAGAGGGGCATCACCCAAATGGTTCTGCGAGACGTGAGAGAACTAGCCACACTGCAGTGCATGCTGGAGGGCGGAAAAGACAGCTTTGCTTTCTGAGCAGTCAGCCCTACCGAGCTGCCAGCCCGCAGACGTGAAACCCTTGATCCACTTTGGATATTCTGCCTCGGTCGTCACTAGCATCATCGAGCAATCCCACTTCCTGATGCCTGAAAACGCCAGTCCTCGGGTTAGTGTTGCCCGCCAAATCAGCTGCCATTTTCCGTACTTCCCGTGGCGAGGCGAAGAGGACGTGGCGCCGCGAAGCCTGGCGACATTGCTGAGCGATGTGGGCCCCGAGGCCACCCACCCGTCGATTCTTCGCATTCCCAGCCTGGGATCTGTCGGAGACTTCGTGACGATGCCCTTGTGCTGCTCTTGCTGCTGTTGCTGGTGTTGCTGGCTGTTTGCGGACCTGAGCAGTCCTCTTCGCCAGGATCTGGGGCTGACGGCCGCAGCGGCGAGATCACCATTAGAGCTGGTGGCTGCGGCTTGGGGCTCAGCTTGTAGCCGCCTGATGAAGAGTCCAATCGAGCCCTCCTTGCCGCTACTGGCCGACCAGGTTTCGACTTCGTCCCTGCGCTTTGCTGCAGAAGCGGCCGAGTTGACGAGCAGTGAGGCTGGGAACTAGGGCAGGGCCTTGCAAAGTGTGCAGACTCCAGGGCCAGATCTGAGACCTGGAGCCGAACTCCTTCGTTGGGAAGAGCTCTTGTTCAATGTAGGTGTGGCAGAGGATCGGAGGTTTGGTTGCCCAGGTGCTGCTTGCTTCGCCCTGCCTTTGGCTGCACCAGCAGTTTGCGGAGGAATTGGCCATCGCGTGACGTACTTAGTGTCCAGTGCGTCGTGTTTCCGCAAGACCCCGCATGTCTGTGCAGATGGACTGATTTACGAGTGTCCACCATGAGTCGATCTCGGATTTTCCAGAAAATGAAATGGGCAAGCAATCACATTGACCGTAAGGATTGGTCTTGCTGGGGTTTGTCCATTTGTTCGCTGCTGTGATCTTTGTATGCGTTTTTAATGGCGATGCTGCTCGGGAGCCATGATGCCACAAGTCCTGTTTAGGTGCTCGGAGTACTCGGCTGCTGCGCTGCTGGTGAACCCTGCGCAGGAGGAGCCAAGGTGCCCCTTCAGCACCATGAATGTGACTCCTCGCCAGACTCTGTTCCCTGGGGTTGCCGCTCTTGTGTTTGGTGCGTTTCTTTTGAAGGCGCCTTTCCAAGAAGCAGAAGCAGAAGCTGCGCCGGAGGTGCATCGTTTCCATGAAGCCACCACAAGACGAAAACAAGTCTTGTGTGTGCGCTGGTGAGTTCCGCTTACGTGACAACAGCCGTTTCCAGCCTCTCTGCAGGCCCCCATCCTTGCCCAGTGTTTTGGTTCTTAATTCTTCCCTATCAAGGAAGGCTGAAGAAGCCTTGCAGGCAGCGGCCGAGGCAAAGACGGGGACGAGCTCAGGGACGGTTGCAGTCTTTAGGATGCTTTGAGTGGATGATCTGGCCGGCCCTGAATTGAGAAGTCGGAAGGGTTTAGGGCCCCCATACATGCCTCCCCACAGGCTGTTTTTGCTTCAGTGTTTTGTTCTAGAAACCTCCATGTTTGCTTTGTCTGCTCCCAGCCGAGGGTTTAAATCTCCCGGGATCCGGTGGCGTGACTGGCGTAGCACTTCCATCCATTGAGGATTCAGTGGTTTCTTGCAAGATTTGATGGCAGCCTTCCCGGGTTTGAAGTTGGAAGCTGCATCCAACAGCAGTTGCAATCATGAGTCGAGGGAGAATTGATGCGACCAGGTTCGTCTACGCCTAATCGGTGCTTTCTCGGAGATCGAAAGCTTCGGAATCCGTTCGAACAGGATACAAGTGGCTGCGTTTTTTGCGTCACTAGATGTGTACAAACGTAAACACACACCCACACACACACACACGTTTATGTGCACATGGCGTAGTTACACAGTCGTCTCATGTCCTGCATGCACTTGTAATCGGGTAGTACGGCCTGCGTCCCGAGCTCGGACTAGAGCCCCGAAGCGCAGGAGGCGCCCGTGACTCCGCCCTGGGCTCGGTTCTTCTGGTCGACCGCGGAGCTTGCGTTTCGGGCTTCGCTTTGACACAGAGGCTCCAGAGCCCAAAGCCCCACGTCGTTGCTTGAACTCAGAAGCCCCGGAAAGGCCCTGAAGGGAAGGGGCGGAAGGGAAGGAGCCCAACTCTGGCCCAGGCCTCGGCCTGCCTCAGAGGCACGGAGAGCTCTGCTTGTGCGATGCGTGGGTCGCAGTGGTCAGGCTTCGGTTGAGTCCCACCGTACCTGGGAGGACCCTCTGCGCTTTGTTGGTGGTACCTGCCCCGGCATCAGCGAGGATGTCGCCAGTATCAGGCCAGAGCCTCCCTGCAGCAGGAATCGATGCCAATACGCATACTGGCCCAGCATTCACACGTCCATTCCGCTGTGCTGTTTCACGTTCTACCTATGGCACTGACGTGAGCCCGGGGAGGTCTGACAGAAGCTGCGGCCCTGCGACGACAAGGCATGTTTGGGGTGTGCTAGTGACTGCTAGTACGAGCCACAGGAAGCTCCTGGTAGCGGCTAGATCGGATTTGGGGGTATGGGTGGAATGGCTATCCAAGGTGCCCAGCTCGAGCAGCAGCTTCCAAGTATTTACGGCCAAGGGTCCAGAAACGAGACCAAAAAGGAGACAGGGACGCCAAATGCAAAGCAAACGGAAGAACAAAGGCAAACAGGCCGGGAGAGGATGAGGGCTACGGTTTTGGGGTTTAAGAAAAAGGCTCACAGCCCTCCAGGCCCGAAGCCTTGAAGGAATTGGGTTTAGGGCTTTTGGGTTTGGGGTTTACCCGAAAGCTGATGGGTTTAAGGCTTAGGGAGGGTCATACGCTTTGGGGGTTGTTGATAAAACCTTGAAAGCCCCAATACCGATCAGTAAACACCGTCGGTATATTCAATACGGCGTCGGATAAGTTGTCATTGTCATCCCAAGGAGGCACTTCTGACAAAGAAGAAAACGCTTTCTTCGGCAAGGTTAGGCAAGGCAAGGCAACGGTAGGTCAGATTAGCAATCCCTAACTAAAAACTCAACTGTTGTAGGTTCATGTCTGACCGATTCGCTCGGAACCACGTGTTCCTGGGTGTTGGGTTGGACCGGACTACGTCGTGTCTGTGAGTCTGTCACTTTTGCCATGCTTCTGCAGGTCGGATTCCGTCAACTCGCTGCGCGACTTTGGCATGGGGCTCTGATGCGAGTACATCACGGCTGTTGCTCCGCGGCGGTATAGGTCAGGGTTTCAACAACCGTTGGGTTCAGCCTTCATTGTTTCATAACTGTTACATGGTCCTGGTTGGAGGCTTGTCACTGTGGGTATATATCGGTTGCAGTCATTGTCATTTGAAGCCCTGGCTTGGCTCAAGCATGGGCAGCGAATGCCTTGTGGACGACCTTCCACGGTCCCAGCTCGAAGTGGATGAGGCCGCCTTCGCTTTCCTCGCAAAGCCTCGCCGCAGCCCATAAAACCTAGATGCACCGCGACGGCCGTGGCTGTTCGGGAATCTGGGATGTGTGCGCAATGCAAGCGGGTCGTTGACAAGGCTTTCGGTTCAGACACCGCCTGCCTGGAACCGTGCCTACGACAGGCGCAAGGCATACAGCCGACGCTTCCCGTGCACGGGTCTTTAGCCGAGGCGCGGCCCATCTTGGGGTTTTGCTGTTGAGGGTGGAGGTTCAGACGTACGCGCCTCTCCACTCGCCACCTTTCTGACTCAAGAGTTTCCTGTGCTGCCTAGGACCTAGGAGAGGTGAAGAAGGCATCGGCTTGGATTCCTTTTCACCACACTCCTCTCGCAAACCTGGCCCAAAGACACGTGATGAGGACCTGTGGTCTATAGTCTCCTAGGAAGCTGTCTAATGTCCGGAGCTGCTTGAAACTGGCTTTGGCAGGGTCTAGCTGCACGATTCGAAAGCTTCAGCGACAGGCCAGCTCCGATTCAGATTCGGTCTTATGCATCGGGACCCGGCCAGATGCACTGCGTGTGTGGCATGTGCCATACAGACTTGCAGAATCGATATCATGTTCCCTGAAGCGCACTCAGCCCGAGCTTAGGACACTAGGTGTAGCCTGCTCACAGTCCGATATAGATGCGCAGGCCGTGTCTCGGCAAGCGTACTGGCGATGCATATCGCTGGCTCCTTCGTCTTTGCTTGATTGGGGATGTGTTTGGGGCGCAGGGACAATTTCTGGAGCGTTTCGGTGTTCCCCGGACTTCTGCCAAGACTCTGCCAGAAGGGCGTGGCGAGCAGAGTCGGTGGATTTTCATTGGCTCCGTGGTCTCTTCTCTCATGTTCGCCCTTTGGGGATATGCTGATATGCCCCTGTTCTGAGGATCTCTTACGGCAGAGTCTATTCTGCAGCCAAGAAGGCTGGGCGGGTCCTCCATATGTTGAGACGCAAAGATGTGCTGTGAGCCTCGTAGCACCGCCCGTACGCTGGCTTTGCGGTTGTTCTTTGCGTGTGCAAGCCAGCACATTCGGATTGATACCCCTCGACTCCTGCCGAAGCCTGATTCACGAGTCCGAAAATGCCCAGATCTCAAGTGCTCTTCAAGCGAAGCTTGCACCGGGGTCTCTGGTGGGTACCTCTGATGCAACCTGAGCGGTAGTGGTTTAGAGGAAGTCCATTTCGGCAGGCTTTCGGCGGAGTCCCTTCAGGAGCTAGCTCGAGCCACCTTTCCTTTCCATGTTCCGCACATGCGAGCGACCGACTGTCGAGGCATCTGTGGTGTCAACAGCCTCGACCCTTGGCGACAATGTGCGTGTGTGTGTGTGTCATGGTAGAGAGAAGCCCGAGAATGCATGAGGAGACAATGCCAGTGTAGCCCGAATGTGTGGTTAATCCAGAACGACTAGCGTGCCCGGTGGAGTTCCGCCGTAATATATGTGGTTCGTGAGGAACTGTTTGGTCTCGCAATGTACCAGCACCATGCATGTTTCAGTTGTGCAGCGCAGCCAGTCAAGTGTACAGATTACCAAGCACCTAGTACCAAATGCATCGTTCAATGTCATGCATTGCTATGCCGGTGTGGGTTAATTGAATCCCACATGCGACGAAGCATGAACTCATATGCCTAGATACTATGCCATATCCAGAGTATCTTTAGTACTGTATAGAGCTTCGGAAAGGTAGTTCTAGTCAGTGTTTGAATTTGGACGAATGTGCCTGGGAACAGTCTACTACCCGCTCATGATGTGTTACACAGTGCTATGTGGTAAACTATGTAGTCATACGGTCTTATCTGCACTGGCATTGGCGCTCATGCATCTCGTGGTAGTTCGGGGTAGAAGGTCACGTCAAGACTCGTCGAAATATACAGCATTGCATCGTCTCTATCTCTCTTAGTGCATTCTGTAGTCTGATAGGATAGTAGTCATATGGAGTTGCTTCGCATTACGTGTCAGTACGTGTGGTTCACTGCAGCGCATTCCTGCACTTGGTGCATCCTTGGCTCTTTGACTGAGAACTGGTTCCTGGCTGACCTGGCAGCGGTCTTCGCCGGCGTTGGCTCCGTTCCACTGAGCGAGGCTCTGGGCTCTGGGCTAGATGAGAGATTTCTACTCTAAGGGGAGATCATCGATCTCTGCGTGTGCCGGCTTTTGCTTTTACTCTTGCAGGTTGAGAAGAGCTAGCGGTGCATGTGCCTCGTAAGGTGCAAGATCGCATAATTCAGTGTCTCGCCTGCAGTGCGAGTCGGTGATCGGAGTTGCGACGGCTGTGAATGCCAAAATCAAAAACTCGCTTGGACTCTTTGGTTCTGTCTATATAGAGGTTCTTGACAAGAGTGCATGCATAAAGCCAACTCGCTTGCCTGCCCCCTTCGCCGCCACCCTTACCAGGATTGGGATTTGGCAAAGCTTCGTCCAGTAGTGGAGAGGCGGGGTTCCGATTGTACGGACTTGGAGATAGAGAAGGGCCGCCATAGCCTTCAGTTGGCATTCCATTTGAAGGAGGCTGTGGGTTGCAGTAAGAAGCTTGTGCTGGAATCGAAGATGCGACTCAAGCTTCAAGTATTTCTCCACGAACCGGCTGCAGGTGTGAGCTTTCTACTGTGTTCTGTGACGGATCGCAGCTTCCGAAGTGTCTGGCGCTGCCTTCACTCAGGCACGAGAGATGTGAGAAGTTCCATGAGGTCAATTCCTAGGCCTAGGGTCCGACCAGATCTTGTTGAAGCTCACTAGCGGGAGCCTGCCGCCCTCCATGTTCTTTCTCGGCCCCGACCTCCTTGGACCTGCATGCTTTATGATCAGGCTCATTGTCTATTCACTTGCAAGTGGACCTATGTTGGTTCACGACAGTATGCTTTGCAAGTTCCACGAGGTGGATCATCGTCCTGGATGGTTGCGAAAATGTAGGTGTCTCGGCCAGGCATCAAGCATTATCTGCTGCTCTGCACGGCAAAGTCTTGAGTGTGCAAGCGCAAGAACGTCTCCAGGAGAGAGCGTGGAGGGCATGTGCCACATCGTTTCGATGCCCGGCCGCAAGCAACCTCAGGATTTCTATGAAGATTCCATTCCGGTTCAAGTTGTCATGATGCGCTCTTGTCCTGTGAGTGTTGGGAGGTCGAAAGCAGCATGTGCCTGATGTAGGATGGACTCCTTGGCAGTCGCCCAGCCGGAGCGGCCCATAAAGTTGCGAGGACAGGATGGGTTTATGATGGTTTATGCTATCACTAGGAGTGGATTTATCTCAGACACCACTCCAAGAGGGACTGCGCTGAATCAGCGGACGACTGCTGCACACAGTGTTTTGCTGCTAGTGTTCCCAGTTTGGGACGCTGTGCACTTTTTGCCTTCCAGGACCTTCAGACGTCCACACCATCCTCCACACCTCGGGAACCACCGGCCTGCCCAAGGGTCTCCTGGCATGCCACTCAAGCTCCAGATCGTATCAGTTTCATGTATTTCACAGGTCGACCCTCGCACATTGCTCGGCCGCGGTTTGTGGAAGCACAAACGTCGAGTCTGATGTCTCTTCCCAGAACAGCAAGGTGTGGTCTACAGCGATGAGCTTTGGCAGAAGAACATGCTTATGCCCATCTTCCGCAGAACAGATTTTCGCGAAGTCATGGGGCTGAAGCTACTACTGCAGGGATTGCAGGGGTCGAAGTGGTTGTAGGCATTGAGTGGGCCTGTTGGCTGTTGTGTCCCCTGGGTAACTGAATTGAGGGTAAGCGCATTGAGAGTAACTCTCGAACCATACGCCGGCATAGCTAAGGTATCCGGGTCTCAATGTGGGTTCCTGGCTCGCAAAAGCAAGATTTGTTTTTGATGCACTGAGCTGGCCATGAGGGTCATGACTTAGACCAATCCCAGACAGGCTACTCGTACATGCCGCTCGCCTACATCACGGACCGTCATACAGTTGCTTGGCTGAGATGTGTACGGCATGGTACCGTGGGTTCATGGAGCTTTGTATCCTTGCTTGCACCACCTGTGCGATGCGTCTTGCGTAGGTGTACACAGCGCTCTGGAATGGTGGACGTGTGGGAATCCGAACACCGGGTTCTACCGATGTGGCTTGGTCGGACAAGTCTGCGCTGGTGAAGCCGAGAGCTGCTCCGTTTATGGGGTTTGACGAAACTGCTGATTTCCAAATCAAGGAAATCTTTCGTGACCTCCAAGCTCTGCGGCCAACGGCCACTCGACTTTGCACCTCAGGCCCAGTATCCCGAACCACCTAGCCCCGCTGACTCTTGCGGAGTTGCACCTGAGCGCTTGCCTTCGTCCAGGGTTCGCAGCTTGACCGCAGCAAAGCCTTCATCTGTTGAGAACACATTCTGCGGACCATTATGTTAATGCGCCTATTCTGGTGGCAAGCTCAACCGGAAACCCAACAGGCAACCAGCAGAATCCGAAAGGTTCTGAAGGGCGTGCCAGCCTTCTGGGAGAGAGTGCAACGGGCGGCACGGCTGGTGCAGGCCAGCACAGAAGGGCCTCGAAGTTCAGGAATTTAAACCTTTTAGCTTTACAGCTTCATGCTTCCAGGTAGCGAAGGCCTCTTAGTCTCCAGGATCCTGTGCAAGTCTGTAATGGTCCTTGTGGTGATGAGGTGGCTTCCAGCCCATGATCATCTGGTATGGTTGTTGAGTTGGCAGATTTCTTCTATGTTCTTCTTCCTGAGCACGACGGCTTTTTGAGCTTCTGGGAGAACTATGCCAGTTTCCATTCCGCCAGGATCGGTCGCTTCGCTTGCTGGGTGGCCGCTGCCGAGTGTTGCGACTCGGTGTCGAAGTACTGTGGTAGCAGGCCTGAGGCTTATTTTGAATCTGCAAGCGGAGCCTCTGGAGGGCCGTTCTTTGTTGTCGAGCAGGCATAGATGCAGTTAGGCTTCAGGATTCAGGTGCTATGGACGTCTTTTCCGTGGCTGTTGAATGACATCCCCCTGCGCAGACGGCGCATGATGAGCTCTGGACAACTTGTAGAACTCTCGAAAATCAACATCAACATCACTGTCTCTTGCCCAGCTCACCATGGAAGCGAGCTCGAGGATCTGTGGTGCGGGTGCGCTGGATGCTGGTGTGGCAGACTGGTGCCTGACTCAACTTAGAGAAGTTATCTGCAGTTGGATCCGGTCCCACTAGCGAAACCCCAGACCCCGGTCAGCTGCAAGTGCAAAGTTTCTCAAGGCACTCCACAGGCTGGTCGAATCTTTGAACCGCCTTTGAAGTCCTTCCCAAAATCGCTTGAGGTTTCGCAGCTGTGCGTTGGACACTGGCCCTGTGGAGTTTCTGGAGATGTACGGAGGATTCACAGTGTTTTTTTTGAGCTTTGTGGGAGACCGCGTGGCATTTCAATGGGCGTGGCATGCTGGGCAGGCACGGAGTGCGGCAACATCGCGGTCAATCGAAGGATTAACAAGGACATCGAGTACAAGGTGCACGCATCCCTGCGTGCTGAAGTTTCTCAGACTCTGAAGCACTCTTTGGGAGGTGCTCCCGTTCGAGGACATGGAGCCTGGCAGTGGCGAGTTGGTCGTCAAGAGCCTCGGTTGCATTGCAAAGGAAAGACGGAGTCAGGATCCACAGGCCCACAAAACGCAGAACAAATCTGTATTCTGTCAGTGGCGCATCAAGCGTTTTATGCTGGTCCTTACCGGACTCGCCCACATCTCGATCTCTTCCTAAGGACAGGAAGCCACATGTTCTCATGCTACTACAAGGAGATCCGATGGCTCATATCGGTTGTGGTCATCGGCATCGTCCTCATCCTCTTGGTATTCGTGTTCTTGGTGTTGGTCCCCGTCCTCTTGAGGGATGGGTAGCGATAATCATGGTAACATCAGCGGCAGGGGCAGTGTTAGTGCCAGTGGTCGTGGAAATTATGAGAAGGAATAGGAGGCAGATATGGGCGCCGCAGTATTGCATCGTCGTAATCACAACAATACTCCCGTTGATAAAGCCTGTCACGAATCTGACCCTAGGCAGTCTTCGCAGAAAGCGCAATGGCACCAGCAGTCGACATGGAGCACCAGCAGAAGCGAGAGCAGCAGTAGCACTCTACCATACTATCAGCAGCACCATGAAAGTCGAGGCCTGAACAGCTTCTGTTGATGTCGGCAAGTATACCTCGGTCCGAGCAGCTGTTGTTTTGCGGAGGACCCGGATCGAACTGCAGCTGCCTTCACAGAGGCCTTCGGTGCTTGCAGAGCTGTTGGGGCCCCTTCTAAATGTGCTGCCTGCAAACAGAAACAGAATTCGGAAGCATGGCAGCAGGGCCCAGCTGATTTTTGGAGGATTCGTCGTTCCTTGAGAAATTTGTGGCATCAACCACGGCCGCTTCTGATACAGTGACCCTGCCCAAAAAATGCCAGCATGCAGGATGGCTTCTATAAGATCGGGGACCTCGTGCGTGTAGAGGGGGATCAGCAGCCCAGCTGAGGTTTTAGCAGAGTGCAATGGTTTAGGCCAGCAGACACAACTGACACCAAGCTGCCCCAAAGCTCAGGATCGAAGTGATCGGTCGCGCAAAGAGCTCCATCAAGCTGGCGACGGGCAAGTGGGTCTTCCCGGAGTCCTTGGAGATCGTGTACAGGAAGCGGAGCGAAGCAGAGAGAAGCGGAGGCCTCCAGTGACCAGCCCTGACTACCCCTGCCCTCACGCAGGACAGAGCTAGAAGCCCAGAATGTCCAACACGTCTTCGTTCACGGCGACCTTTACCACGACTCTTTGGTCGCCGTGGCTCGGACCAGAGCTGCACAATGCAGGAAGACTCCATGGTGTGAGGATGTAGGCACCGAGCAACGTTGTCGCAGAAGCATTTATCCTGCGAGGGGTGCGAACAGCTTCGACAGAATTGACAAGGGTCAGCTCCTTCTGTTCTGCTTTATCGTAGAATAGCTATTAGTAGTTTTTCGGCTTTTTTGCCACCTACTCGTACCCACACGTATGTTTCCTAAACGGTGGAGACTGCTCTCGCATATTGGCAGGTTGTCGATGCGGAGTCGAAGAACTTGGTTGCTCGGTCTTTTCGGAAGCTTGTAATCGCTACGGTCTCTGTTGAGCAACCTTAACTTCTGCATTTGGATTTCAGAAATGCGCCACGCCATCATGTGCCAGTATTGGACTTGAGTGCTAGATGACATTCAACAAGGCAGTACACTATGCTTGCCAGACTGCTTGATGCTGTGGGTCAACTCAGACTTGATGACGTGCGCATGTGTTTTCTGCATTGGTCTTGATGCAAGGACCCCCAGCAGCTGCTGCAAAAGCTGCGCAGCCGCAGCCCTGCTCCACTGTGCGCGGTGCCCTTTCTCCTGTTGCTTTGTAGCTTCCTTTTGCTTGCAACGTCCGGGTGGAGGGATCGGAGCGCAGGGGCCAGCCGGGTTCAGGATTGAAGAAGGTGGAGAGTCCCTTAGAACTTGATGGGGTGAATAGCCGAGTTCTACAGCAGGTGCTTCTCGCCGAAGAGCCGTTCTCGCAAGAAGCCGGAACGCTGAACGGAACAGGCGTCGGCACAACATGTAGTCAATGTAGTTGTTTGGTTTACGCAGGTGTGGTGTGCTATAGGAGCGACACCGAAATCTCGACGTCAATGTGACAACAAAGATGGCAATCACGTTCCATGCCTGCTAAGCCCGAAGCGGGTTCTACGGGAATGATTGCGAGTAGCGGCATGCAACACCTGCGCAGTGCTTGAGTCGCACCAGGGAAGATGGACAGAAAGCGCCTTCTGTCCATATATGGAGCTGCAATCGAGGAAGAGCTGCAGAGGCCCGGCCCTTTGAGCGGTTCCGTGAAAATTCGTTGACAAAGACAGCGCCCAGGGCAAGCAGCCTGTTCGCATTTGGCCACTTATTGATTTGTAGGGCTGAAAACACCCAGTGTGGTGAGGGCATGGCCGAATTCTAGCCAACTCGCAGGAGTGCCGCCATTGCTGCGCGAGCCTCACTGGGCGAACTGGATGCGGCCAAGAGCTTCAAGACGCGCTCTGGATCGAAGTTTATTTTAGAGTGTTTGGATTTAGGGATGGACCCGATGCCGCTTCTAGTGTCCCGGATCCCAAGCGGAGAGCCGAAGAGCCTTTGTCCAGGCAGGGCGGAACTTCCCTGCAAGCGGCACGAATTGACCCTCGGAGGCAAATGTTAATGCCAGAGCGGAGCGAAGGCACTGTTTGAGTGGGTATACGTTTTGCTCGGAAAGCTGCCTGTTAATGGGCGGAGCACGAATTTCTTCACGGCATTGACGGTGATTTTCTACCCGACCCCCTGCACTGCTTGCACCGTTGCCGCCGCCAGCAGAAAGACTACCGGGATTCTTCCAAGATTTGTCCAAGATTGGTCTTGCCGTTTTGAGCTTGCATCTCATCAGACGGCAATATCTTGCTCTTGTGGTTTTCAAGAAGTGTTGCAGAAAATGGTCCCTAAATCAAGAAATGCAGCCGCGAAGATGTTCGCCAAGGCTCTGCAAAAGTGAAGCTTCACTGAGCAAGTGTCGGAGCAATAGCACTGAGCAAAGTGCGGGGAGATGTTCTTCGATGTATTGGGAAAGGACAGCAGCACCGCGTCAGAGGCCCGATGAGACAAACCAGCACAACTTAGATAGCGCATCCGGCGGGCACCGGGTATTACCAACTCGCAGAACTTTCTGCCGCCCAAACCCCAAATTCTTAAACAGGACTGATTGGTGGGACCTTCAGACCAACCGGCTCCACCGTCGTGGTTTTTTCTGATTTTGCAAGGAGGAAGAGAGCCTTCAAAGAAAAACCGGAACTCACGCAGGAGCCAGGCCTTCATTGCCAAATCTAATCCAAAATTTTGACCCTAAACTAAACACAGCCGGCCCTGAGCCGGATCTTCTCGAGGTTCAGGACAGGTGCAGGAATCTGCGTCGAGAAGTCGAGAGATTCAGTAGCTCAGGGGTTAACGAGTCAGGCCGTGAACATGCGACAAGAACGATGCCCTCAACAAATTCAGCTTTACAGCTTCGCCCTAGACCATCCATGCCGGCAAATGGTAATGCAATTTTGCGCCATTCATAAGGAGGTGCCTTAGCAGCGTGTTTTGAAAGGAGCAGCATTGAAAAGCGCATGACTTCCTGCCTGCCTCGCCATTTCAAGATAGAGCTGGCAGTATACCTAAAGTAGGCTTCGAGGTGAGACTCACTCCCCAGGTACCAAGCTGGTTCAGATCTCGAGATTATGAACTCCGCGCATAGCAACCGAGCCAAGAAAAAGCAGGGCCTCAGGATACGGGCTTGTGCCACTGCTCTGTTCTACATCAAGCAAAACGCGCCATCCTTTCACTTTTTGCCTCGCCAACGTTCTCAGAAAGCCTGCGCATACGTCGTCACCGCGTTTGTCAGCATGATGCTTGTTTCCCCAAGCCCCACCCCACGGCGGTTGCATCCCCAGGCACGCCTCTACCTGGAGTTGGGCGTCCCGATGAGCCGGGCAGTGCAGCTGCTCCCAGGCTCTTAGTGGCTCTTTGTATGTCATGGGGGAGATGCATCCCTCTGGGCAGGCTCTGTTTCAGGGGTCCGGAAGCCGCGGTTATCGAGCAATGTGGATGTGTGACACTATTTTTGCGACTGTTGTTGCGACCGGTAGCGCAAGGAAGGGCTTGGTGACTTTCCTTCCAGATTACAATGAAACAAGCACGCACGCACACATGCACGCAGAGACAAAAGAGTTCCCACCCGCCCTGGCTCCAGACGTCCGGGAGTTTTACGATGAACCCAATAACATGAACAACGTTCGCTGCAGAGCTCCCAGAGGCTACTTTCGGACGAGCCGCTTGACTATGTTCGGTCGCAGCTGGAGGAGGCCGGCAGCCCCCAACCCGAAACGCTTCAGAGGTGCAACTTCAATCTGGAGCCAGGGACTCAACGGGACGCAGTTGATGCCAAGCCATAGCAGCAGTCACGTGAACCTGAAGCCAAAGACGAGACTGAGGCAGGCTTGTTGAAGCCAAGCTTAGCTGACTTGGGTTGGTTTGAGTTCGGTTCGGTTGAACGGTCCTCTCTCACACGAGCCTGGATCTTCATCACTGCATTGAAAGTGGGATTACTGATCCTTTAGCTGAATTGATTTACTGCTGCAAAATATCATGAATTAGCAGATGCACCAGGAAGTTCAGCAAGTTGGGTTTCAGACACCTCACGATCCAGGTGGATGCCATGGCGGATTCAAAGCTCGGACTGCCGAAACCGCAGGCACCGCAAGACCTTGTCGGGCCTGTCTTGAACAAGCGAGTCAGTGCGACTTTGGAGTGCATCAATGCAACTTTGGGTTGTGGGATCTTTTTTGTCGGAGGGTAGATGCGGGCCCTGCGGGTTCCGGCCAGGTGGGAAAGCCAAGGCGTGAAGAAGACACGGAGTACACCCTGCTCACAGGCCCTCCTCTGCCTTTCGGAGCTGGCCAGGGATGTTACTTTCGAAACTGTCAGCGCAGACATTTGCTGCTCTAGACATGGACAAGGCTCCCCAGACTCAATGCAGGCCCTTGCGCCTGAAGCAAAAAGAGCCGCGGAACGGGATGGCCAGGTGGCACCGGCATGGTCGGGCGCTACATCCTTGCAGAGCTCCTGGAGAGGAGGCACAGCCCATGCCATGTTCGCCGCTCTGCGATTCGCCCCAAAAACCACTGGGGCCTGGAAGCGTCAGGAGACCGGTGCTTTGCCTCGTGCGGGCGGCTTCGGCGTCTCGGCTCGTCGGAGGGATTCCAGAGGCTACAAAGGGTTCAGGATTGCTGGTGATAGGGTGCGCAGGTCTCGAGTCCACGTGCAACAGGGCTTGGTGGTTCAATTTCATACGAAAGCTGTCGACGGAGGGAGAAACATGAGACGTCGCTCGCGTTGCTGGGGCATTTGCGGCTCCCTCAGTTGTTGGAGTAGGGGGGAGTTTCAGTTCTTCCAGGCATGTGAAAAGCAGAGACAGGGTTGTCGTTGTTCCCGGAGTGATCTGAAACCTCATGTCATGTATGCTTGTGGACGAGTCTGTCTTGCAGTATTAGGGGGCGACAGTCAGAACCGTATGCTTTTCAAAGCAAGCATTCTCAGGCAAGAAGAAGCCAGTCGCTTCTCCTTGAAGTGCTCAGGAGCACCAAGGGCGGCAGCGACTGGTCCATGCGCTGACCCAGTGTGGTCGCTACCGGCCTGAGTGGCGGGCACCCCTGCTTCGGGCTCACGCTTGAGCATGAAGGTTTGAGCTTTCAGACACTAGATGCTAAGGGCTCAGCCGGTGCAAAGCCAGCAGTGCAACAGATCTTTATTGCACCGTTTCTCCGAGGTGGCAGCAGCTGGTGGTGTCGACGGCATCACTGGCCAAGCAACCTGGTAGACTTTAAGGCCAGAGCACCTCCTAGCTTCATGGCTTTGGTCTTCTCTTTCTCCGCCCGTCTCGCTTTGACCAACCCACCAGATTTTCGGAGTCTCCGGTCCAAGCACTGGATTGTGCGAAGTATCCGTGAGGTGTGCATCGGAGAGTGGAAAGAGTCGTCGTTCCAAGGCCCTTGGACCTGAACCGGTCGGTCAAACATGTCATCCATGCAGCTGCGAAGGCCGCGTGGCATGAGGGGTCTGAGCGGCATGAGCAGCACGTGCATCGAGCTTGTCAGAAGAAAAAACTATCCCAGTTGAGCCAGGTGCTGTTTACTAATGTGGAACAGGCGATGCCTTGTCTTCTGACCTTTTAGCAGAGACTCAGGTAGATCTGAAGGCACCTTATGCGGCCCACAGAGCTGCGAATGCCGCTGGCCGCTGTTCAGGGTCTTAGTCGTGACCATAGTCGTTAGGCCGAAGACACACTGGACGATACGGGAGCAGATCTTATGAAGGAAAGGTGCCAGGTGGAAAGTTCGACACTTGTAGTCAAGCCCATGGCTGGTTGCGGCTGATTCTCACGGTTGGAATCCATCTCAGGTGCTTGGTACCTTCAACGTGCTGAGCTACGCGGCGATGGCCGGGTTGGCTTGACTTGTGACGCATGCTGTTTAGAGGCTCCAAACAAGAGAGTCGCTTGTATTTAGAATGGGATCGCAGCAGCACCCTGCCAACTTTTGAGTTGGGGGCTGCAGCTCCAAGCTTCCGCAGGTTGGCGCCAGAGTCCTCTTCATTTCCACGACGGATGTTTACAAGGACAAGGCCCAGGCCGCCCTGGCCGCCCTGGCCGTGGTGTCCCGCGCTTCGATCTCCTGTAAGTACCCCGCAATGAGACTGTCTGGGTCTGGTTCGATTGCGGCCGAGCGGTCGGCTCTGCTTCGAAAGGCCTTCTATTTAAGCTTCGAGGCTCTCCCAGGCTCCCCTGTCCGAATCCCTTTCTCGTAGGCGGATGCCTGCGCCGTCGATCCGGTGGCGGAGGCGCGAGGGGGAAGCCCTGGCTGGCTCGTTGGGGAAAGATCTCTTCGGACTTTCGCGAGGTCCTCCAAGACGCGAGGCATGGCTATGCAGCATCCAAGGCCCTGCATCCGGCACGAAGACGGAGTTCGGGGTGACGAAGTTTCAGATTCAGCTTTAGGTCTCAACGTAGGGATAAGCTTGGAGTTTGACGTCGTGCATGAGCTTCTAACGCTCCGACTTCATACACCCTTATCGAGATCTTTGCAAAGCCAGCTTTCCCAAGGCGGTTGGGGAGGCTCTCGTCGCCCAAGCCCTGCGCCAAGGCCGCACTGCATCCGAGATCTGGTAGGGCCAAACCTTTCGATGTTGAAGGCTTGCCCCGTTCAGTTGGTAAAGGCCCGTCCTACGCATGCATCTGGGCCCGCGAACCGTCGCCGTTTGGGATCCCAAGACGTTCGAGATCCGAGCGGCAAGAGGAAAGCCTCTCTGAGGGTGCATCTGGACGGCGACTCGGCCATGCCGCTGCCTCAGTTCCGGTTTGAGCGGTCCCTCGGAGACCAAGACTCTACTTGCAATCTGCACTGTCGCCAACTTCTAAGGCTCGCCGCAGACGGCAATGCTCGAGAGGTGCTGGTCGCACCGCCCCAGGAGCCCGGTCACTGGTCGTGCTCCTTGCTCTCATCGCGCCGGGGTTGTGTTCTTGCATGACACAGCCGATGACAAGGCGATGCTCCATGCGACCGCAGCAGTGCCAGATTCCCAAAGACATGTCCCGCAGGACACAGGCGACCAGGAGCCCAGCCGTGATAAGGTGGGAGCGAGAGGAGGGAGAGAGAGAGAGAGAGCAAAAGCTTGAGCACCGCGAAGCCTATGCAGCCCCTTTTTGACAGCCCCAAGCCTTCGCTCGCCCAAGAAACCTGGTTCCGTTCACCATCAGCCAGCACGATTGTACTCCTCAAGTTGTAGAAGAGGAAGCTCATTCCGTTGGGACTGATTCTGTTGTTAGCTTTAAATCTCAAGCTTTCGGGAATGCACTCCTGATTCCGAAGGCGCAGTGCCGGTTCTGCCTAGAGACGGGTGGCTGGGCCGGAGCAGAGTGTTGCTGGAGGAGCCGAGACGAAGTTTCAGCAGGGACGGGTGAGGTAAAGCAACAAATGGCAGTCTGGCCTAGGCTACCCTTCAACCTACCGATAAATAAAACAACATCGCAGTTTGCATGAAAACCCCAGTCGTGGCCGCCATTAAGAAGATGTTCTGCAGCAAGATACATCGGGAATTAGAGGCGCCAGAACAGAGGAGCTTTCTGGCACCCCGAGGGTCGGTGAAGGCGGATGCCTCGAAAGGACCAGCCCTTCATAGCAGCAATTTGCTGTGTGGCGTTCTGAGGTGGCGATGACTTGATCGCGCCCTGCATGTGCAAAGGCCGGAGGCACAGTCCGCTGGCACCGCAACTCTCAGCTGTGGTGCTCAGAGCCCTCGATGAAACGTGCGATGAGAAGGTTTGCTAAAGTCACAGATTGTGATGGCCGCGCAGTGATACTCGTGTCTGCAGAGGCCACTCCAAATGGGTACATCGCCACTGTCTCGACAAGTGGCGGTCCGAAGGCCGTGGCGCCAGAAGCTGCTTGGAATAGTCAGTGCTGCAGGCTTTGTGGCAACCCTTCAGTGCCAAAGGCAACTGCATCTGCAGCTGTTGTCTGGCTTACGACCGCAATTCGACGACCGGTACGCACAATTCTCATTCATTCAGTATTTTGTGCCAGCAGCCGAGGCTTCACACACTGCCCTACCTGCCACTTCGCGACACAGCTGCAGCCAACACCTTCAAGCATGGACATATGGAAACACCTACCACAAGCTGCCATTGCATTGCGCTCTGTTTGATGGACCGTGTCTCGCGATTGCTTTCGCGTCTCAGCATCCTGTGCTTGCAGCAAGCAAGAGAGATGGAATTTTGCGGTTCGGTTGCAAATCGGAAGCAAGGCCCGACCCAGCCGGGCATGTCTATGTCTGCAGTAGCTTAGTAATGATTGCTAGAGGATGCAGAATTCTATTGCATTTGTACCCAGTAGTTTCAGACCTGCATCTCTGTGGCGCGATTTTCCATCTTCGAAACGAGGCATATCTCATGGAACTGAAGAGAGCGCCTACGGAGACAGAGCAGTCCCGAGACCGCAAAGAGAACTCACGCTTTGCATGTTGCATACATTGGGGCAAGGGTTGCCGACGTCACATTTCGCTCTGGTGTGGTTTTCAATCCGACGTAGGCATGTCTAGCTCAGGTTGTCAAGTTCCTGGTCGTGCGATTTCGCATACGACTGTTAGCAGCAGAGGCAGCAGCAGCAGCAGCAGCAGCAGCAGCAGCACTAGCAGGAGTGGTATCACAGCAGTAGCCGCTCTGCTAGGAATGGTACGTGCAGCCTGCAGCCTTGAAGGCGGCAGTGGTGGTAGAAGGAGAGCAATGGCATAGTGTTTATGATAAAAGCAACGCCTGGAGTCTGAAGCGCCGGAACTCCCTGATTTGTATTTGTCCTCAGTCTAACTGGCAACAGTAGACCTTGGAAGCTGGACGTCTCGACGTCCTCAAGAGTTCGTGGTAGCAGTAAGACGAAGCAGTGCTGCGGTGGCAGCAGTCTGTGATAGGTTTGATTACACGCTGCCCGAGGCACATCCGCGAGCGGCGTCGTGCCATCCTGCGACGAGCGGAATCCCGACCTGTTTCAGGTCTAAGGGTTTGGGCCTGATGTCTTTGATGGCGGGAGCCACTGGGTTTGGCAGGATTTTGATGGTTATTTCCGGACAGTCTGCCAGACTAGGGAACTGCCCAAAGGTGTGACTCAGGCCTTTGGGGGGTTTAGTGGTTTTGATTTTGGGAGTTCGTCGGGACCAGGGGATGCTCAGAGACTGCACACGATGCGCAAAGGTCGGCCAGTTCTTCCTCGGGGCAGTTCTGGTGCAGGTCTTTGGACTGTGCGTTTGGTCACCTTGGTCAGCTTTTCATACGTGTACTCGGCTGTTTCCTTAAACAGTCGCGCGGGCCGCCGATTCTGCGCCCAGAATTTTCCCTTGCATGCAGGTTCTGCTTTGCCTGGTCGCGTTTCTGATCAGGCCAGGCCAGGGCCAGAGATGTGGCCCATTAGGCATGTCGGAAGGTTCCTCGCTTCTGAAGGCTTGTGTCAGGCTGCGGCTTGTAACGCGTGTCTCGTGACCGTCCTGGCGGTTGCGGTGCCTGTGTTCTCGACCCCTGAAGTTGGTTTTATCGCTTGCAGATCTCCGAATCACTCCTTACAAAGCCTGTCCAGGCAGATGTAGCAGCCGTCAGGAGCAAAAAGCCCGTTTCGTGCAGGCTTTGCGACCCGAGCTCGGAGCTTGTGCGACTACTGCCGTTCTTCACTCCGCTGCTCCCGGGTGAGGCCGTCATGCTTTCGATGTTATCATCGGGGTACGAGATGCCAGGAAACAGTCTTTTTGTGATGGTTTGGTACTTTCATGGACAGAATGTTTCCCATGGTTTTTAGATGCCAGCTACCCTGGTCCAGGATGTCCGCAGCTACCTGGACACCTTCCGTTTTCACAAATCCACCTACTACTTTGCCAGCTGTCCCTGCAGTTTCAGATTTTGTTGGGGACGCTGGTTTCGACAGGGTGGGCAGAAGCAGCTGTGTGAGGTGGTCGGCCAACTTGCTCTCCTGTTGGTACTCGTGCGGGGTGTATGGACTAGTGGGGTGCCTGTGTTCCTGAGGTCCTGCCTTGCATCAGCAAACCGTGAACCAACAAATCTATCAGTCAGGACCAACTGTCCCCTAAAGCGCTTGTGACATTCCTGGTGCTGAAGCCTAGGCATCGCTGGTCCTCTCGCTTGCCACAGTCGGCGTGGTGACTGTGCTGCCATTCCACACTCGGGGCTTGTGAGGATTTGGTGTTCTTGATTCGGGATATTTTCGGATTCATGCCGTTTTCCGGATTTCCGGAAGGGCTCCGGTCCTATCTTCAGACTATGTCACTGGGTTGGATATGCCTTGTGCTTGCGCTTTCATTGTAGTCCCGTGGCCTTGGCAACGAGACAGCCGCACCGTTCAACTGCGGCCCCTCGGGTATCATGCAGAAGAACCTGCAGAAGCCTCTTCAACACCAGCGAAGACACATGAAGTCGCGATGGCAAGGGCTCAGAGGAGGGGGTTCTCTCCTGTGCCTGTGCCTTGGACACATTGCAAGCGGCCCTTCCGTAGGAGCTTTCTCTCCTGGTGTAGTCCGCGAAGAGGTTGCTGTCTGTGGGTTTGTGCAATGAACGGAGAAACATTTCTTTTCGCATCACGGGATATGCTCCTTCGGCAGACCGTGTCGTAGGCTTTGACGAAGGAAAACGCCAGCAGAAGACTACGTAGTGATTCAATCATTGCTGATGCAGCGCGCATACCCGTATGCCATCCATGGGCATGCGAAAGTCCTTGCTGCATCCACCAGCGGCGTCCCCGTGTGGATTCGTAAAGGAACGCCCCCACCCCTGCCAGGACCTGAGCAATGTAATGCGTGATAAGGTCGACGAAACAGCAGCAGATAGTACCTTGGTAGTTTACGGCAATGGTCCGGAAACGCACATTACTAGGCGCTGTGTGGCTCCGAGTCGATGCTTCGGCGTTTTTTGCATTACCCGTTGAGCATTGCAGCCTGGGTGTCTGTCCCGATACAGACAGCGACGAAGTTGCTGTGGCTCGCACGCGTGCATGGAGCAAATTGGATCGCTTGGCAAGGGGTTTGTCGCATTTGTGTGCAGCATGACACGGCATGCTTGTTTTCGACAACTTCTTGCAGTTTGTTCGCATGGCTTGTGCCAGCCTGATGTTTTTATTGCTTGTGGTGTTCTTTCCCAGCTCAAGCTTCTGTAGTAGGTTTCGATATGATGAACCACGGTGATACACAGCATGAGCTCAAGCATGGTCTCCACAGGAGTATAAATTGATAGTAGCACTGGCATCATGATTTTCTTCCGCAGTCGGACATCGGCGCTTGTGACTGGCGAAATGGCTGGGTCCAGTGCTGCCAAGATGAGGGTCTCGCAGCTTTGCGGATTGAGCATTGCTTGGGTCCGCGAGGTGGCCAGAAGTTCTGCGATTGTCTTACGGAGCTGGTTCATGCTGCGGGAGGCAAGTCCCTGCATCGCCGGAGATCAGTGATCCACAGCTGCAGCAGTTGAACAGCATGTGGCCGTGCTTCTTGATGTGGATCGCGTTATTCTGCCTTGGCACATGTGCTGGAGCTTCAGCAACAGGGCACTTCATTACTGCATGTGGTGAAGTTAGTAAGCGTCGATGGCATCTTCCGG